AAGAAAAAGAAGAAAAAGAAAAAAGACAGAGAAAGAAAGAAAGAAAGAAAGAAAGAAAGAAAGAAAGAAAGAAAGAAAGAAAGAAAGAAAAGAGCAGGGAGGGAGAGAGAGGAGGGAGGGAGGGAAGGATGAGGAACGAAAAAAGGAAGGAAGGAAGGAAGGAAGGAAGGAAGGAAGGAAGGAAGGAAGGAAGGGAAACCCACCAAAGCTCGAAGTTTTGCTGAAAGCTGTCAATCACATTTCCAAGTTGGCGGGGGTAATCTCACGCCAGGAAAGGAGGCAGCAACTGAGAAGCCCCCTCCCCAGTGTGGAAGGGTCAGAAATTAGGGGAAGCCGCAGCCCCTCGGAGAGCCCCAGGCCATCTACCAATTCCTCAGTTCCTCCTCCTGCTCCTTCCATCTTTTGAGGCCTGTGAGAAATTTTCTTTGGGGGGGGGCTTTCTCTCTTTGCCTGACCCTCCTGGCCCCCCCCCCTCTCCATCCAGGTGCAGGAGCTGCAGGAGAGCCTGTCCAGGGTGGAGACCTGCGCTGGAGGAGCCCCCGGCCCCCCAGGGGAAGGAGCCCAGGTGCTGCAAGGGAGGCGTCTCCAGGGCCGGATGGGGGGGGGGATTCAGCCCCAGGTCAGAGGGGAGGGGGAGAAGAAGAGGCTTCAGCCAAAGGAAGCTAAGCTCCAACCCTGGGGAGGGGGGAGATTTGCTGTATTTTTGACGTGCCCCCTGCCTTGCAGGACCCCCCCTCAGGGGCTGCCCAGAACGGCCCCCACCCTCCCAGGGGGGCTACCAGCTTCCAGCCTGCCCCCTCCCTTCCAGCCTGGCCCCCCACAGAGATCCAGAGCAGCCTGGAGCAGCTCCACAGGTAGGGTCCCTGATGCCCCCCCCCGCTCGGCCATGAGAAGCTCTTGGGGGGGGGTGTGCAGCCGAAATGGGAGGATCGCTCAGCATGCATAGGGTTCAAGCCCCCACCCCCAATTTCTGTAAGGCTCTCAGCAAGGGATCCTTGACTGATTCGTCCCACGGAGGGGGTTGTAACGGTGCCCCATGACAGCCCCCCCCCACCTAATTTGGGGGATGACCTGCGGAGCAAAGGATCCAGCAAGGGTCTTGGAGGCCCCCCCGCCCTTCTGTCAGTTCCCTGGAGGGAGGGGGCTCCCTCGCCCCCTGAGAGCACCTGCTGGGACTTTCCTCGGGGAGGGGGCTCTCTGAGGAGTGGAGGCCCCCCCTCCCCCCCCTTGCAGGAACACCCTGCCCCGGGTGGAGCTGCCCCCCCTTAGGTACACCTGGGTTACAAGCCGTAGTAGCGGCCCTGCCCTGACCGGGACCCTCTGCCCTCCCCCCCCTGTAGGCGCCTGGAGGGGCTGCGGGGGCTGAACCGGGGGCTCTCTGGGGCCCTGCAGGAG